ATCTCCACCTCCCACCCCCACCCCTTACACGTCTCAGGTCATGTCGCTGCAGCTCCAGTGGAAATAATAAGATATAAACCACGAGGTTGTTATTTGCATAGAAATAGCACGGAGCCCCAGGCAGCAAGGGAGAAGGGCACAGGGATCATTTGTCTAAAATTTTAATGAAAACTTTTGCTGAGGCAGAGATTTTTTTAAAACTTTCTTTTCCCTGCTTTTCTCCGCCCATCCCCATCCCCTCAAACCCCATCTCTGATTTAACTTAACATGGTTCAATTTCAGCAGAAAGGGTTGACACTCTACATAGCATATTCCCATAATGCAGCAACATGTAAATTCTTTATTCCTTTAATAGATATGAAGCTGGAGACACACGCATTTCCAACTTAATACATTGCATGTATGCGTCCAGCTTTTATGGCTACACTTCATCTCAGTGCGCACATGTTTGCACCCCACCGTTAGCCAACCTATTTTTAATTAGTTTGGACCTTACTACCTTTTGCTTCCAAAGACTCTTCCTTTTTAAAGGGTTTCAGTTTTGTAGCCAATAGTAGTAACCTGCATACAAAGTATGGATATTCTCACGGTTTCCTGTTTTTTACTTTCAGTGGTTTTACTTACACTTAAATGTTTTATTCATGGACACTGTCCTTGGCCACCATGTCTTTTGTTCTAAAACCAGAAAGTGCTTCCCACATTTGTATTTTTATGCCTTTCCCCCTGTGATCTCAGTATATGTGTATTCTCTTTTTTTTGTCTGTCTTGTGCTTTTTGTTGCCTGCAGTTATTGGTAAAATATTACCAAGTTGAAGAGAGAGACAGTATCTGGGTTTTCTTGAGTGTTGCAGAAGCAGATTTGACATTTGCACTAAAGGCAGTCTGGGTGACTATTGGGAACTTAAAATCAAGAACATCTATCTGGCTCCTTGGGTGGGCTAGTGGTGTCAGGGCCATTTTACAGGTGAAGGCTAAAACAGTAAGAGGTAAAGTGACTTGGTTCCATTGACAGAAACTAGATCAGCGTCAGAACATGAATTTCCACATCCCTAAGTTTCATTTCAGATGGGCTGAGTCCCTTGTGCTCCATGTCTATAAGGCCTGAAAGGAGAAGGTAGTCTGGTCATTTTCCTTTTTTGTCCAAATGTCATGAGAGTGATGACATAAATAAGAGAAGCTTCTACGGCCTGCTATTCCATGTCACTCAAAGTAGTAGATCATAGGTTGCTAGCTCTACACACTGTAGACTATTTGTGGCAGATTCCTCAAAATGACTCATGGAATGGTAAGGACAGATTGATGGATGTGACAAACTACCCTGCTTGAAGGGAGTCCTGCTGGCCTGGCAGTGACCTGTGTGCTTGGGGAACTGGTAAGGTAGACCCTTAAGGGGCTGAGACAATTTGTAGAGTCATAAACTCCAAAGTCAAGGTGTCACTGGACATTTGCAGTAACTTTCTGATTTCCCCTCCCCCACAACTCCTCGTCTCCTTTTCTGTTTAATATGTTTAACATAATTTCAGGTGCTAGATAGGCTGGAAGGACAGTATTGTAAGGGTACACTGATGTAGGCTAGAGCTTCTAGTTCTCAGTCCATTGCCCCAGACTTGGTGAGAGCTCCCTCTGTAGACAGAGAAATCAGAATATGCAGTTTATGACTTGTCCTCTGGACAGTCACTGTCTA